AATAACAAAATAATCAGGCCACAATTAAACAATTTTTTGTTTGCCCTCACCCGACCCAGGCTGAAAAGTGTGGTTGGCTTTTTTTTAGGGCGGTCTTTTTACAAATTCAGCAATGGTGTCCAGTGCCTACGTGCTCAGGTGTGCTTGTGTGGAGATACCTTTTATGTTTGCCTACACATTTATATAATGTACATTGTACAGTGATACAATATACATATAAAATACTTTTAACAACTTGTGTTTATCAGAGCTAAATTGTGCATGATTTTATTTCCAGATCACGCACGCACGCACGCACACATACACGTAATGTGGAAATAAAAGCATTACAAATAAAAGCAACTTGAATTAAGAAATAATAAATATCTTCTTAGCACATATTAGTCTTTGGAAAGGAAAATAAAGTTAATCTGTCAGAGTTAGATCCATAATTAAGTTATTTAATATCTAAATTATAATATAGCGATTTCCAGGATTCCAGGAAAGTTTTGCTGTCCAAGTTTTGGAATTTAGCGATTCCAGGAAAGTTTTGCTGCCGCGCTCTCATACCAGCGGTGCCCGGCCACCCCCTACATATGTAATAACATGCACCCTGGCACGCAGCTGAAAGTGAAACAATCAATAATGCACTCGCCCTTCCCCCCCTACTTCAATCGGTGCCGCCCAGCCAACAGGCACGTACGCAGGCTGTGCATAGCTCTAGTACTATAGCCCGCGTACAGTTGCCGCAGGCCTGCCACATACAGAAACTTAAAAAAAAAATCGGAAAGGTCAATACAAATGTTTGTGTCGGCCCCTTTTTGGCGGGTCGGTCGGGTGAGGGCAAACAACCAACATTTTTATTATGGCCTCAGTTTGGTAAAATTTTTATGTCCTGTGCGGCGATTATCTAGTCGCCCCGCCGGACCAGCTGACACGAGCAAGCAGTCGCCCGGTCGATTTTCTAATCGCCACTGGCGACTGGGCGACCGCTAGTTTCTCACGCTGCACAATGTTAAGGCACAAGTTTAGGGTATAATACATACAAATGAAATGATTTTACACAATCTTTCCGTTGCTTGTTCTGACGTCTGCTGCGCTGAAGCGTATCATCCGTATGGTTATCATCGTGAATAATTCTACTTCTGCGAGTGGTGTCATGGCGTCACGACTCACGACAACTTCCGGTGGCTACGCCTAGCGGCCGCTATGACTATGAGCTATCCAGTTAGTATAATAGAGATCAGTGGTATCAACATGTTCCTACTCGATACTCCTAGTCCTAGCAGGATAGAGTGAATTAGTTTTCATTCTAGTGGTCAAAAAATTTATCAAAATTCCAGGAAATGGTGAGCGAATTGTAGTGGCGTAATCATAGCACTGAAATCGTAGTGATTTCATTGATTATTGAATGTTTAACTATAAAAACAAAACCTCGCATTCCGGGCGACTTTTCAATGAAATTTTGGTGCCCAACATTATTTCTACTCGCCTCGGGTGACTGGGCGAGTGTTAATTTTCATCACTGATATGCCGGTGGGACGGTGCTAATTTCGCGCCTTGTACATGATAATTTTATCTCATGATAAAGTTGTCACAAATTGTTATATTGGACTAATGTTTTTTTATTATAAATTATTATGTAAAGCAATCAAACTAGCCAGTAGCAGTATGTATACATGTGCATATTAATTCATAGGATATTGTTTGCAAGAACATTTATGGTTTTTATCATGTCACAAGAATCGTGTGTGATGTTAATTTATAATTATTTTGATTCCAATTTTTAACATGGTTTTCTATATCAGCAATGTGTGTGGCAATGTACACATATTGTGTCTGTTGGGGCAATATTGACCTGGGTATATATGTAAGCATATATGTGTCACGTGTAGTTCACTCAGTACTTGCTGTTTTTTTTTGTTACAGACTTTGTGTAGCATGTTTAGGTGGTTGTGGCGATCACGGTGTGGACTGGCTTGCCGTTGCTCGATCGCTTTATGGCAGCATGTTTGATGTATTTCTAATATACAGGGTCATTATTGAGCATGCCAGAGGACCAGTGCGTGGCGGAGGATTTGGAGGATTTAGTGGGCAAGGTGGCGGTGGCGGGGGCGGCGGTGGCGGCGGCGGTGGCGGCGGTGGCGGCGGCGGCGGCGGCTATCGGGATAGACGCCCGCCCCCCAGACGAGACAAGTAAGACACCCAGTGTGCTCTTCCTGTCCTCCTCTGCCAAGCCAAGCAGATGTGGGGTAGTGGCAGTCATTCTCGGTTTCTCTGAGGATCACCAACATTATCCTCGCACAGTTGTTGACAGCACAAACTTCTTCTTGCGGTGCACCTACGTTCACATCTTGGTAATGACTGCCACACCTTCATCGCTTGGCTTCCCAGAGCAGGGCATTTTCTGTTACTGTACTGTCGTTGACGTATACTTGTTGCTTTCAGGGTGGTATTAGAACACGCTAGAGGTACCCCACGGGGTTCTGGTGGCGGGCACCCAGGTCCTAATGGTGGCAGAAGAGGGGGCCGACCCTGGGAACGTGACAGCGGCCGTGACAAGTAAGACCCCCTCGTCAAGCTGGCCCTGATCTGAGTCTATGTACACGATTAGCAAAGCTTTATAATTTTGTACACAATACCCAATGTCACTGGCAAACCAAGAACGTGAAACGCGGGAGATTTTTTCTCTAATTTTTAGTGCAATAAGCAATTTGCAAATACAGTAAATACAGATTTGGAAATATAACGATTTCCAATAAGATCTGACATGTTGTAGCAACAGTACCATTTCTTACTCTCAAGGATCAGTGTTCATCATTTTATATTATCGGGGGAACAGTCTGTAGATAAATGCATTTAATCTAAACGAATCAATTGTCATTGCAAATTCAATGCACGTGTGGGACACCAATATACACTAACATGTTATGCAACTAAGAATGCATGTGAGAGAACGGTCATAGCATTTGGCCGTCACTAACGTTACACCAGGCATAGCATGAGAACACTGCGAATGCAGAGTAGCACTGTTGATATGCTGCCAGCCAAGATATAGTCCCCCAGTACCTAGGCAATGTAATGTCATTTCTTCTTTGCGCTGAAGAGACAATAAGGTGAACATAAATGCCACTCGACTTAGCAGTTTGCATGGGGTATGCATTGTTGTGTTTTGTTGTACCACAATATTGTGTGTGCTTTCTACTTTATTTATATTATATAATTTTTGTGCACCTCACATTTAATTGATTGATTTTGGCTCTGTTTAAAGTGATACTACAACCTATAATTTTAGGGTATATTAGCAAGTGCACAAATAATAGTATGTACCTACAAATTTCTATAATCATGCATTCACCCTCGTCCTAAAACCACAGCGAGTTTCGAAATCTAATTTTGGCCACTGACATGACACTTCGCGATTGTGCAATTATATTTATAGCTAACTGCTATTTAACCGAATGATTTTTATTTTATGAGAAATTTGTCCATTTTATAACTGAATCTAAAAGTTGTTTATAAGATATTGCAATCCTCCTCTTTAATAAATAAGAAACGTACTTGGTCTATTATAGCCTGCAGCCGAAACGTTGTAATGCGCAACTTTGATAGTAGCTGGGCTAGTAGTGTCGCTACCGTCGTTTTAAGCAACGATATAGTCGTTAGTTTTAAAATATTAAAAAAAAAATATTTCTAATGAATATTGAACAATGGAATTTTTAGTTTCATAATTTAAACCTTTTTTAACTGAAAATATGCAAGGAACCTAGCTAGTACGGTCAAGTATCCCTTTAAATATGCTCAATTAATTTGATTGTTGCTCTTTAATATTATAAGCAAAAGTAAATTAAGATGCTAATTAAGGTTAAATTAGATGTCTGTGCACTAAAGTAACATAATTTGTCTCTGAAGAAATACAAATCTGTGTTCATTTTTTTGTTCATATATTGTTAAGAACATAAAGTGGGCATTAGAAAAGATAGAAGATTGTTAAAAGTTCAATAACAGGCAATAAGTTGGAATTTTGCTCTCAATAAAACGTAATATCTTCTAGAATTCTCTATAATACAAGTGCATTCAGAAACCAGTAAAATCCGCGATTAATCGTGTCATATGCAGCATGTCGTCATGTCATTTTTTTTTTTTTTGCTTTTTGCAGTCGGTATGGACCACCGCAGCGGACAGATTATCGCCTTATTGTTGAGTCTCTATCCAGTAGAGTCAGCTGGCAGGTAGGAACATCGTTTTAGACCTCATGTTTAGTTTTTCATTATGAAAATATTCATGTAAGATTTGTTATTATATTACTTTATACCTGTGGGATATTTGATGTGGACCTGGTTTACAGTATCCTTTAGCATTGGGGGGTCTTTTAAAGGCGGTTAGGCAGTCACTTGTGTGTAAGTGTTATATTTTGTTGTGTTTTTTGTTTGTGGTTTTTACGTTTCTATTTAGTTTTTTTTATCGTTTATGTTTTTGTTGGAGGATGTTTTTATATTGTTTCAAGTATAGGTTTCTGACAGGAGTTTGCTGAGGGTCGGGGGTGGTATGCTATAATGACATGTTCATGTGTGTGCACATTCATGTAAGCATTGTATAATCTCCTGGCAGGAACCTTGTTGTGATTGCTAGTTTAACACCCAAATGGTGGGTGTGATGCATGGCAAATGTCCGGTCCAGGTTGCTGATACCTCCTTAGCTGTGTACAAGGAGATGTTCGTGGAAAGCAGTGCTCCTCCCTCATGCATGCACGGGTTCAGGCTGGGGGCGTGTCGGCGACGCTTTCAATTTAAGTTTTGTTTCAGTCACTATTAGCGGCATTTGGAAATTGAGGGTGCTGTTTGATAGAGATGTCTGGTGGACGAGACCAGTGGGTCAGAGACCAGTGTGTCACCAACCCTATCGCGTCTTCGAGGCTGGTGGCGGCAATACCTGACTCACCAATCAGCCGTGTGTGTATGTGTGAGTGTGTGAGTGCGTGCGTGCGCGCGTCTGTGTGTGACCATGACACCTGTGGCTTGTGGATATGTGTGGCTGTCTGTGTTGATGAAGTGAGCTTGAATGTGTCTGTGAATGGTCTACTATTTTTGTAGTCGGTTTTAAAATTGCTAGGATGGAGAAAATCTCTTAAAAAATAGTCATGGCAGTGCAAGTTATAAAATGGCGATAGTGCATATATAGAATTTTTTTTACGCAGAAGAAACATTTGAATGTCATTTTATTCAATAAGAATAATTATTTTTTCATAAATAATAGCAACAAACTGGATTACTTTTTAGTGATGGTCAAAGGTCTATAAGATAGACCATATAGAGGTCTATAAGATATCTCTGAGGAACTTCTTAATGCCTATGTATTTATAATATTTTTTTCTATGCCAAGAATTTTTTTTTTAATTAATGAAATTGTGGTAAGACAGCCAGTCATTCATTGTGTACTGTAATACGTGTGGTGTTTCCTGATTTCCTTTGTTTAACATGTCTACTTATGTCAGTATGTGTCATTATTTCTAGGTTCCATTCATTCAATTTGCCTAAACTTCAACCTAGCCTGTAAACTTCCAACTTCTTTTCCATTATATTTTTAGTATTTCCTACATGCGCTTTATCTTTTCACCATCGTATTCCTTCCCTCCCGCATCACTCCGATCTAATCTACAGTCGCAAACTCCCAGATCCACCACAAGATGATGCACAGAGCAACCCGGCACCCCGGCTGTGTGCCGGATATTCAACCGGGCGGTGACGCATTTCTAACCACAGGCAGGGCGGTTGATCGGTCGAGGCCATCGTCCCAGGCTGACCACTCCCCAAACATCCGTTGTGTTGGCAGTTGTTCGAGGCAGAGCGGTCGCGGTTGCAATCCATTGTGTGGTGGTCAGACCAGACGAGAACGTGTGGGGCTAATGGTTGAGCAGCGCCAGGGCGTGCCAGGGGTGTGTTGATGAGTCAGCGCCGCGTGTGTTGGTCGGTCCAGCCCGCTCAGTCCATAGCAAAGGTCCGAGTCGGACCAAGGTGGAGGGTCGGTCGCTCGTTGGTCAAGCATAGGCACCCATGTGGTGGTGCCGCCGCTATCAGGCTTGGTTTGGCGTCCTAGGCTTGGGCTGGCCATAGCTTGCTGAGCACACAACCTGTTCCAGATATTTAGAGTCAGTGAGGTAATCACTTGTTCTTTTTCTCAAACGTAAATGTAACTAACGCTATATTGGTAACGTATTAAATGTCTTTATTCGGAGATTGTTTGCGCTTGACATGTAAACCAGTCTTGACTGGCATTGGATGTTCTGAAAGCGGAAGACATTTTACTATGTTAGACTGCACTACAAAGGGTATTTGTAGAACGATTTTTAAACAATAGGCCTTTTTACGATTTTTAATTAAATTGGCCTTTCTTAATTGTAGTAAATATGGTAGAACGTCTTCCGGCTTGCAAGATGCATAATAACTAAATTTGTCAATCATTGGAAGTCGTTCCTCATTTTAGTTTCAGGTTTTCTGATCGAGTGTTTAGCACAAAAACTTACAATTTATTAATTATTACTGATCTAGGATTCGGGCGACTGCACATGTGAAGCTGAGCAAAGCTAGTTCATCGTGTAGGTAAGGGAAACTAGCAACGGGAAGGTGATTTACGAATGTTTGTGTGCTGCGTCTGATGCCCGTCGTGTATTTGTTCTGCGTAGGACCTGAAGGACTACATGAGGCAGGCTGGTGAGGTGACCTATGCTGACGCACACCGTGGTAGGAAGAACGAGGGGTGAGTCCTATTTATTCATGCATGCAAGTTATTTATAGTGCCTAATGGTATTGAGCTTAGAGGTATGTCACATTATCACTGACCCTCTGTTGGCTTTGCTAACAACATAAGTAAACTGTATAATATGTTGCCCACAAACACTCCCACTTGCGAAGGAATTGTAGACTACTACAAAGAATCGTATGCAATCGGGGCAGGCCATCTTGCAGTATGCTGATTTTGACATTGGATTCTTACTTTATTCTTGACAGTGTTGTAGAGTTTGCAACCTACAATGACATGAAGAATGCTATCGACAAGCTGGACGACACTGACCTGAACGGCCGTCGTATTAAGCTGGTGGAGGACCGGCCAAGCAAGTCCGGTCGCAGCCGTCGCAGCCGCAGTCGGTCCCGCTCCCCCCGCTCTCGCAGCCGCAGCCGCAGCAGATCCAGGTAAGCCCTGCCAGCGTGTCAGGGACCGTGACCTTTGTTTTCGTGTTCACCTAGCCGTCCTGGTGGCAGTCTCACGTAGAAAAAACAACCTCGAGCAGCAAACTCGGCGTAGAAATACGAGCTCGCGTCGCGAGTTCTAAATCTCCGCATCCCCAGTGGTGTCCGCAGGAGGCGTTCAGGTTAGCCCTGCCAGCGTGTCACCGTGGCCATTTCGTTTGTTCTCGAGTTTACCTAGCTCCACACGCGGCGCAGAAATACGAGCTCGCGTCTCGACCTCGTGCGAGTTCTAACTCTCCACATCCCCGGATTTCCCCGCAGGAGCCGATCCAGGTCCCCACGCTCGAAGTCGCGCAGCAAGTCTCGCTCCCGAACCAAGTCTCCCAACAAGGAAGCCAAGGACAAGAAGAGCAGAAGCCGATCGCGCAGCCGAGACGTTTCGAAATCGAAATCTCGCTCGCGGTCGCCGAGATCCAAGTCGCACAGCCGCTCGAAGACACCGGAGGAGAACAACAAACAGGAGGTTAAGGACGAGTGAGCGGGAGGTGTGTGTGTGTGTGTCCCCCCTCGTCTGTGACGAGCATGTGGCGTTGACATTGTCAGTCGTCGCGCCGTTCAATAACAGATTGACGCTTGCACGTGTCTGTGAGTGAAAGGCGAGGTTTTGTATTTCACTACTAGTGGGCAAAATGATAAAACAGTTACCCTGTAGTGGTATGATACCTGTGTGCTGTTTCATTATTCCCCCTCGTGTCTTACGGAACAGTACTAGTTGTTTCCATCTGCATACTGTATGCTAATCATAGCAACGCAAGCTATACTACCATAGCATGCAATTGTGTGCTGCACATCTATAGTGTTCCAGTCTTTGTGTTGACGATTTGTTTAACATAATTTTAGTCTTCAGATTTCTGCCACCATTTTAGTTGGTAAAAGAATTATTGGCACACCTTTAAACCGTAGTACGTGTCAATTAGTGTGGTGAAACACCGTGTTATGGTGCAGAATCTGCCTTTTCCACAGGAGAAAATAGTTGGAATGCGTGTTGCCGATGCATCCTAGTTAGGACCTAAACTATGCTTCTGTAACTGACGGTTTTTCGCGTCCACTTTGAATTTGGAATCTGTGCGGATTCTATTGCGGTGTAAATTATATCGAGGGGTGCGAGTCCAGTTCCATGTACTATCCAGTGAGAGAAAAGAATAGTTGCTATCCGTATCGTTTTGTGGCCATGATTTTGACATTCCAGTTTTTGCACCAATTCTTAAACTCGTAAAGATAAGTTTTTGGAGGCAGTAATGTAGTGTAACAAGCCTACATCTAGCTACTTACTTATCTATATTATTCTATGCTTTACTGCTGTCATGTGTTTTTGGTTAAATTGAGAGTGCATCACTGTGCTTCTAGTGATTCAGTTTTCAATGTAGAAAGTGTAACTCTGCTGTACAAAAATGGCCGAACAAGATTGTTTTTATTCATCACTGTCTTTATTATTCAGATAATGTAATGTAATTTGTCTTATGGTGAGAAAATAATAAATGGACAACATAAAATGTTTGACTTGTATTGAAATATTGTCGCACTTACAATACGTATTATGTTTCATCTTCAAATTGGTCATAATATTTCACATGATACCCAGCTTAAGTTATAACAAGTAAATTTCTCTGATTGTCTAAATTATATTTCTCCAATCTATCATAAGATTTCTTTTGTAGTTCCTGTACAATTGTACTGTTCTGCAGATTTGTAAGGTCATGTCTTCAAACGCCTAGATTGCCACGTTCAAAAAGCACGACGCCACAGAAGGCAATGACGGGATTTAAAATAAATTAAGCCAGTTTTTCCATTTACTTGTACTTGCACTGGTAGCGTACGTCTCTACCAATTTTACCAGCTGAGCATAAAGGAACTAAATTTCTAAGACTAACAAATTCATGCAAGTGCATGGGCTGAAGTGTCACAACGTAAAATCTGCACATAGGGTTCAATTAGACTTGCAGCAGCTGTTCCACAGTACAATGCATAATGACAATTATTTTCGTTGGTAACGGTTATGTTTGTACAAAAATAGGTTTAGCACCTAATTTTGGTACAAAATGATTAAATGCCAACACAAAATTGCACATAACTCGATTACAACATGATATGACCCATATGCTAGGCACACAAATCGTACAAGCACATTCGTTTTACCAAAAAATTATGTCTACACGTGGTAATTATATATTTTTGGTCTCACTAATAAAAAAGGTGGTAAATGAATATCACAATAAATTTTAATTAAAACGTCAGAAATTCTAAACCTCGAACCGAATGCACTTCTAACTTACACTCGGTGTACAGATACTCGGATGACTCCCTGTAGTTGTCATCACTGTTGCATCCACATGTGTAACGTAATATACATATGAGATGTCTTTGCGACGGAGGCGGATGGTGGCTAGTTTTTTGGACCCCCTTTTCAAAGTAAATACCAACGAATAATTCTTCAGAATTGTTGATGATACTTTTCTAACTTTACAAACATCGTATCATAGGTTCTTTTTAATAGAACATACAACAATAACGAGCTTTGTTGATATGAAAATAGGCATACATTTAGAAGCTGCACTTATTGATGTGTATCATATGTATACACATATATATATATTATATATATTTAATATTATGCATAATATGTCGATACTATTTCTAGGAACGAGAGGTATGAACATCTTTCCAAAAACTCGTGCATACCATACCGATATGAACACAGTAGAAAAGAATTGGGCGGGAACAAAATTTTCTTGCAAGTTGTTCTTACATTTTTCCTCACAGATATTTGAGAAAACCATAAACATACAGTCGCGAGTAACTAATGACAAATTGTCATTATTTTTTGTCAAATTTGTCATTATTAACTCCTGATACAGTATTTAGCTGCACAATCAGTGTGCGAGATGTACCCATTAACACGTGAATACACGCAGATATAGTCAGGAACCGTTAAACTAGCTATTTGCATATCATTATTTGTGTTATTAAGTAGCCAATCACGCTAAAAAACTCCAGGTCATCTAGTCTCAAAGTCAAAGAAATCATCAGAGTAACGGTCTACTGTAGTGTACCCATCAAAATCTGATTATTATTAAAATTAATGGCCAGGGCCCCATTGTCTGAAACGAGATTGTTCTTAGCATTGGTAATATTAGTGTGAAGGCTGACTATTATGCCTTCATGGGAGCACTCACAATGAATCGATAAGCACAGGAATTTGGGAATGAACGGCTTTATTCGGAGACGCCGGCTAACTCACATCAGCTCACATCAATGTCTCCCCAGTTGAGAGCGAGAGAGAGAGTGCGCCTCGCGCATGCGGCAACACTGTGCCACCTTCCGACACTATTCGAAAACTATGCCGCCGTCACATTAGCATTACCTTTTTTTCAAAGACAGCACCTCTACAAACTGCATGACAAAATCGTAGCTTTACCATGGTAACTAATGTATCTGTCAATGGTCTATGTGAAAAAATTAACGTTAAGACTAATCTTGTTTCCGACAACGCGGCCCCAGCTGCCTTTGATTAAACGTCCAAGTATTTATTAACGATGACTGAGCCGAGGTAAAAAGGTAAAATGGTAAGCTCTCGCTGTCAGACATTCAGCTTTGATAATGTACAAAGGATGCAGCGATGACCACTAGATGGCAGGACAGCTCCTTAACATATTCCTCTCATGCAGACACCGGCCACGCGTATGCTTGCTTGTTAAGAACACTAAACTTTTAAACTTTCAGACAGAAACTGAAATAAAAGGAAATAAACATTCATGAGATATATTTTTATTAACAAGCCTGGGTTGTAAATTACATAGATACACTATAAGTATGTGTATGTCATTTGCAGGGCGTCAAGTGACAGGTGACGCTTAAAAAATAGAAAAATAGGAATTTCAGATGTGAAAAAATAGGAATTTTGGTGATAAAATATATGTTAAATAGGAATATTTGTTGCATTAGATGGCCTCCCAACACCCCTACAGCCATCCCGATCCACCACAAATGGTTTTAATAATATACATATTTGGAGTTACATCACATGCACCCAATATTTTGAGGTTTTAATGAGAAATGCATGTTAAAATTGATAAGCAGTTTATACATGCATAAGCGCCCATACATGTAGACTACTCCAAAATAGTATGACGTACATGATGTATACATGGGCAGATCCGGCTTTTTGAAAAAGGGGGGGTCCAGTAAGAAATAAAGGGCACTTTTATAAAAAGGTGCCGAAAGCAGTTTATGCGACGTTGCCACTTAGGGGGGGGGGGGTGGGGGGACCTCCCCCAAGAAAAATTTAAAAAATTGGTGCACTCTGAGAGCATCTGAGCAGAAATTTTGATGTCTAGAACGCAAGATGGAGTTTCAAATTTTTAAGCAGAAAATTATCTTTATGTGTTTTCCCTTTTTTGGGGTAACAAAGGGGGGTCCGGGCCCCCTGGATCCCCCCTCTGGATACACATACCACATCCAACTAAGAAACAACTTTAGTTAAATAAAATCTGTGATAGTAAAGAGTATATTACGTTAATTTAAAGTAAGGGGCGGGGGTTTGGGGGTCCTCCCCGAGGAAATTTTTGAAAATTGGGTCACCTGATTGATACATACAATTCTGGATTCAGAAAAATGAAAAGCCCTCAAAAATAGGAAAAAATAGGAATTTGTCCAGAAAATAGGAGAAAATAGGAATTGCCCAGAAAATAGGAAAAAATAGGAACTTGACGCCCTGCATTTGCTATCTCATTTAGACCTATCTATATTATAAAGTTGTTCAGCCGAATTAGTCCGTACTCGCATAACTAGAGAACGCCGCAGCCTAGAGGAAAACTAAAGATATTTTCAGAAACAGCACGTCTGGGAGGTGGTTCTAGCTGAAACAAAAATTTAAAAAAGTTAAAAAGTTAAAAAGTTAAACATTCATAAAAAATTCTATTGATCAATAGATGGCGGTCACGTACGTACACAACATCACGTACGTCTAAATCCATGGTGTATAACCGTAATCAGGAGCGTATAATGACAAAGGAGTAAGACAGCGATTTGGTACTGATTTCACTACATTTTTGCCGAACGAGTTCGATGTGAATAAAAATACAAATGTATACAAACATGAGCTTCTTTTGTTCACTGGTCCTTATTCTATCTTCCGGTAGTATTACAAACCGCGTAGCTTCCTTCGTTTTGACATAAATCGTACTTTTCCACGACATGGTTTTCACCTTAGTTACCGTAATCTGGCGAGGCCACACTCTAAATTTGCACACACAGCTCTTCAATGAGCCACCACAGGGATCGCGTCAGGCAGCGCCAGCGGCAACTGTACGCGGGCTAGAGATAACGGTTGCTATGCAATTAATGCAAAACACATGTGCGAAAAGCTACAATCGGCTGGAGCGTCAGTTTACTCATAACAATTCATACACATCATTCCTCCGCGGGTGAAGTAGTTCAGATATTTTACCAGCGCAGCGTTTATTAAAAAAAAAACTGCGGGATTAAACCATAAAAACAAGGCATTCTAACTATAGTTTAAATGTAAAATAGTTTTAATTTTTAAACCCAGCATGGGTGCAACGTAACTTAATTTCTAGGCGAATTTTCTGCACTCGACTAGGCTACGGCCGAAAAGCCCTACCGTGGCTCATTAAAGAGCTGTGTGTGCAAATTTAGAGTGTGGCCTCGCCAGATTACGGTAACTAAGGTGAAAACCATGTCGTGGAAAAGTACGATTTATGTCAAAACGAAGGAAGCTACGCGGTTTGTAATACTACCGGAAGATAGAATAAGGACCAGTGAACAAAAGAAGCTCATGTTTGTATACGTTTGTATTTTTATTCACATCGAACTCGTACGACAAAAATGTAGTGAAATCAGTACCAAATCGCTGTCTTACTCCTTTGTCATTATACGCTCCTGCCGTAATGGCGCAGTGGCCTCATCACTAGAACATCCGTCTGCTACACCTGGATTCCGGGTTCGAGTCCCAGCTGGGGAACTTATTTTCCCGTTTTTTCCTTTTTTCCCCTTCTACTTCTTTATTAATTATTTTTATTTTTAATCTCTTTTATCTTTTGATTTCTTATTATTTATTACTGTTTGGGATGGGATGGGATGGGATGGCGTGACATGGGATGGCATGGGATGGCGTGACATGGGATGGCATGGGATGGCGTGACATGGAATGGCATGGGATGGCGTGACATGAGATGGCATGGCATGGAATGGGATGGGATTGGATGGCATGGCATGGGATGGCATGGCATGGTATGGGATGGCATGGAATGGGAATGGGAATGGATGGATGCATGGATAGATAGATAGTTAGATTTTTTTGGGTATTTTCCTTTCAACCAAGCGGTCACCAGCTGAGTAACGTCACTGATTTCCCCAGGCAACGCTGGGTATCCCGCTAGTATATATATATATATATATATATATATTTATGTTGATCGAGCTTCTCTTGAATAGATCATCAACAATTTCTTATGCTTTGACTAATTAAATTATCATGAGTGACTAACCATGTGGGGAGCGAAATTTTAGACACCAAAATGCGAACAAGCAATATTGCTATTCCTTGTTGTGTACGTTGTATATACTATATAGTGTAGGCCCTATCCTTACCTCACTAAGACTGAATATTGCACGGTCTTCCATCTGATGTTTCTTGTAGGAGTCTGCAATAAACAACAAATATATGTTTCAAAAAAACAATAATCAACAGACATCTCCACAGATTCTGAAAATGCAAACATCGCAATGAGAAGTCAACTAACAAACTACACGTCACACAACACGTTTCATGCAACAATCTTTTTTAATTCAATGCCGCTTTTATCTCACAGCATTTAGTTGCTGCCAGGAACAGCAAGGTGCGGGAGCGCGCGTGCGGCGACGAAGGAGGCGGATGCGACGTACTGCAATTCGGCGTAGGTGCTGACGGCGATGGCGTGACAGTTCTGCACGTGAACGACGAGGCTGTAGGACTGCGTGTAGCCGCTGCCACACAGGTGGCAGGAGTAGGGCTTCACGCGCTGGTGCACGAGCTCGTGACGACGCGCGCTGCTCAGCTGCCAGAACCCGCGCTCGCACTGCCGGCACTTGTACGGGCCGGCGGTCGGCGGCTCGGCGTGCGCCGCCGCCGCATGTCGCGCCAGCAGCTCCGCATCCTCGAACGTGCGCTCGCACCTGCCGCACGCGAGCGCGCTGCGCGCCGCGTGCATCGGCCGGTGCTTCATGAACGCGGCGCGGCTCGCGAACTGCTCGCCGCACTCGCGGCAGACGGTTTTCGACACGCGGTCGTGCTGCGCCCAGTGCTCGGCCATCAGCTTTGGCGTTGCGCACTCCGTCGTGCAGAGCGGGCAGACGACGCGCGACGACGACGACCCGGGGTCGCCCGCCGCACGATCTACGTGTCGCAGCGCGTGCGCCACGTAGCCGCCGCGCGTCGACAACTGACGGTTGCACACGTGGCAAACCCACTTGTTGATCTGGCAGCAGCCGACTGGCTTCGCGGTTGCCTCGACCGTCGTCTGTGTCGCGGATCGGTGATTCGCCGCGCTGGCGGCCGGCTGTGTTGCTTGGAGACGATTCGTCGTAGCGACCGATCGCTCCATTTTTCGAGATTGACTTGCGGTGGCAAGTTGCGGTTGCGTTGCTTGGAGACGATTCATTGTAGTGACTGACCGCTGGGTTGAGGGTGGCTGAATCGTCGTGGCAACCCCTGGTTGCATTGCTTGAAGACGACTTAATGCAGTGACTGGCCGTTGCTTTGGTTGAGGTCGACTCATTGTAGCTACAGGCTGTCGCATTTCTGTGGAAGATGGCTGCTGCACTGCACCATTGGAAACTGGAGTTGCAGTATTGAGAGGTGACCACGCTTCACCCTTCTGCGCATGCCGCTGTCTGTGACGCATGTATCGCAACCTCGTGTTGAATGTAAGCTGGCAGGACACACACCTGTAGCTTCTGTGTGATAAACTGGCTTCATTCGATGCCCGATTCACAACAGTACTACTATGACCACCGCGATTCGCATTGTTTTGGGTTTGCCGAGTATTATTGTCACCTGATGCAGAACTTGTGATCTGAGTTGGCCTGTACATCATGACACCATCTGGAGTAATGCCAACGTTAGTTAGACCACCAGCTGTCCTACTTCCACTGTTACCTGTTCTGAACACATTGATGCCGCTGGGTCTGTAGACAGTTACGCCACCTGGCGTAATACTGACATTAGCTATACTACTCGAGGTAGTATTATCATTTCTGCCTCTATTTCTATCACTTGGTTTATTACTCATTCTGTCAAGACTACTCACAGCATTTGACCCTGAATGTGAAACTAAACCCGTCGGTTGATAGCCTGCGACTGACTGTCTCTCTAATGCGAAAGTTTGATTTCCAATAGTCACTGAATGCTGCCCTAAACTGGCTGTGTTGTGCGGTACAGCCACTGATCCTGTGCCTGAATAGGCAAACTGACTTCCCACAGTTCCTACAGGAATTTGTAAGCGTGCTGACTGGTTGCTTGTCACAGGGTGTGCTGTTAAACCACCCAACTGATTCCTTATAGTCACAGGCTGTGCCCTCGGTCTGCTTGTCTGATTTCCTAGAGCTACTGTTTGTGCCCTTACACGAGCCGAGTGATTTGCCGGTACTGGAAGAATCCTATATCCGCCCGTCTGTGCCACTGCCGTCACCGGAAGACACCTCAGGTCAGTTGACTGGTTACCGGTGCCAACCGACCAATTCTTTCCGTTTGCCGAAGCATGCACTTCAACTGGAACTTTATGAGATCCAGGGAGCAACGGTCCGTGTACGCCTCGCACAGTGTTGTTTAAGGTAGCTGTGCCTTTCGCACCGGTTGTCTGTACAGGACGCGTCAAAGTGGAGAGATCACGTTCTTCATCGCTGATGTCAATGCACACCACGGATTTCTTTAGAATGGGAATGACTTCAATGTCATCAGAGTCCACTGTATCGTCCACGACCTGGCCCCCACTAGGAGCGCTGCAGTCGTTCTGCCTCAGTAACAATGCCGCATTCTCGGTCAGGCTACTAATGGAAAGAAGAATTGGCATTGCAGCCTGCTGTACCGAGTTCGGATTTATTGCCATTGTTCTGTCCCAGGCAACGTCTTTAATTTTAACAGCTAGTTAAGTTTCGATAAGATACTTTAACAATGGTATCTACCGAGTAGTAGTGACGAAATGTTTCCACCTTATTATACAGTGTCTCACTTCTGAGTGAGCGATTGGCTATCATTCTAGTGCATGTAGGCATGGCTACACAGTAGCACGCAGTACATACAGCAGTCAGCACTTTCTGAAAATAAGCATAGACATCAGCACCAGTCTACAGCGAGGCAGGACGCCGTAGATCCTCACTCGAGTCTAACAAAACATGCACCACACTTCTCTTTGACACGGTACTGTATTTGGCTACTACATTCGCTACGAGCGACGACGAAAAATCGGAAGACACGGGAAGACGGTCCGCTTCTTGGCTAGCCGTGTCACGTGGATCGGCATAGCCAATCGCGGCTCCGTCGCAACCGACGTTGCATGCTCCTAGCAGTCCTGCACTATGCTGCACGCATTCAATCTCGGTTTAGTGAGCACGTATTTTTACACATGACATGTATGCTGCGCTCGAGCTTACACGTTGTTCTAGACGTACGATTCGCTAACAGCGCTTACAGACGTATCAGTCTAATACTGGCGTACGCACGCTGTCACCGGCGAGCGGCGGAAGTCTATAAAACCAGTCGCTAGGATATAATATCGACCCAACGGTAGCAGCTACAGCACTCCCCCCCCCCCGCACACACCCTCCCCGCACACACATACACATCACCATACAGCTGCGCATAAGCAGAGGCTGCTCTACTGTACGTGCAGGAGACAGTGTACAGCGTAGCAGCATAGTGGCCGCCACCAAATGTTGTCCTAAGCTCACACAAGCGGCGCGCATGCACTGTACAAGTACATTATGACGCCGCGCGCACAACTGCACGGGCGGCTGAACTCTGGTACATGTACACAACCGAATTTAGGTAACAACAGCAATGAAGTAGCTATAGCTACCTAGCGCAACCAGACGCTACGACTGTTTCACGTCGAATGTAACTTGTGGCTACTAGCTACCCTATAAAGCTCTTCGGGGAAATTGTCTGTTTGTAGGCATCACTTGTGTTTTTATTTATGTGATTCGTTACCCACACGATAGCGAAATAAATTTTGATAATTATATAATTACACACACACACACATTTCACCTTTTCGTTTTCCCTCTTCCTTCCATGCCTCTCACCAATTCTATCTCAAACTGAAGAGCAGTTTCTGAGGTGGAACCAGAAACGGGAAAATGGGGTACGAAGGTCAGGGAGAGTGGACGCACAAAAGAGTATATAACAGGTACACGGCGTTAAGCCCACTGGCAGCAAGAACAAGCCCGCACGTACAGAACACACGCGGCCATTGACTATAATAACAACTATAATAAGGGTGTTATTATATTCAATGGCCGCGTGTGTGCTGTACGTGCGGGCTGGTTCTTGCTGCCAGTGGTTGCCTAGCGCACACACCCGAGCAAAACACCTGAACGTGGAGCAAAAACGTGTTTCGCTCGATGTTCGTGGCTGTGTGCGGATTCCCGAAACAAAAAACATTGCTCAGCTGAGCGTGTTCAGCTGAACAAGCAATGTTTGATTCGCGGAACGTGTTTTCGCCTGAGCGTACGTCCTGCTCGGGGTGTGTGCGTCAATCGTTCTGCTACACAGCGAAACGCCACAGACGGTCTCCAATCAATATCCAACAACAATTAAAAATATCACATGACACACAAAATTGGATGTCTATTTGGATGTCTAATTGGATGGCTATTTTTGATGTCATATGTGACAGCGGCGCTGTACGCAGTGTTTCTGTATGTTTTGCACCGTTTTGCTCGGTGGTCTTGGTCTTGCTCAGCTGTGTGCTGTGTCGGGTGGCGTGTGTGCGCTTGCTCGCCGAGCAGAACACGAAACGCTGGAAAACAAAATTTGCCGTTTTGCTCGGGTGTGTGCGCTAGGCTTAGATCATAGGTGATTCGCTGGCATATACAGGGACCATACATATAGCATATACGCCCCCAAGGTATACGAACCTTGGGAATTACTTACTAAAAATTCCAGCAGAAATATATGTTGCTGTATGCGCAGTCATTTACAACCTTGCAATAGGCCAGCCCAAGGCTCATAGGGTCTATGTCCCCCAGGGGTCAGCCCTATAGACCGAAGATTTCATAAATCATAGTAAAATACTTTACTTAATTTGTGACAAACACGCACATGCACACGGACACGCACACGCATGCACACGCACACGCACACACATGCCGGCGCCTTGATTCCGAGGCCGCCCGCTACGTGCCCCAGCAATCACAGCGCGAGGGCAGCCCGTCCCCACAGCCCACAGCTCATGTTCCATTGCTACAACCCATCGACGTAGGCGGCGGGTCAGGGACTTTGCTTCCTTTAAAATTTTAGCACAGACTGACACATGTTCCTGAATGAAGCGCCTGTTGCAATTTCCGCAAGTGGCTGTGACGACAATGCGATTTTTGGCGCAACACCTCGGTCGATGGCAAATGGCAATCGGCTGGCTATTTCAAAATCTATTTACCGAAAAAAAAGGCGAACGGGTGCGCTGCGCCAAACACGCTAACACGGCAGATAAGCTGGTCAACCCGTCGGTATGGACGCCGCCATTCAAGTGTCAATACACGAAGAAGGCGCGGGCTTATTCTAGTCTACGAGTACGGGAGATGCGGAAAATCTGCAAACCAGAAAGGAACGTAGCCACGGCTAGGGGCAGTGCGCTGAAGCAGCGTGTTGATTTCTCATTGTTTGTGGCCCCAACTCTATCGTAGAAACCGTATCTAGAGGCCTTAAGCGAATGGCCCTAGTTCTTAGAGATCGCGATTCCGTACCGCTCAATAGGTGGCCCGACCTTTGAAAATATAATGAAACGAGGTGCGGCGTAAGCCTGTGATTGGAAGACACAAAGTGTCAATCCTCACGGCGCGCCTCGGCATCCATGGCCGCATCAACGTTCCAGTTTCAAGAAGCTATTCCTTTCCCGGTACTAGTTATGCGTTTATTCTTGCTCGGCTTACGGCTGTTAGCGTGATAATATCGTCAGATATGAAAATATTAGAATATAATACTGTCATGTTCCTGCTGGCTGTTTGCTATTTAATTGTTTCTGTCGCATGCCAGCTTACCTTGTGCAGTGGCGTGAGCTGCTAAATATCATGGTACTTGCGACAGGCTCTACCTGGTGCTTCTATAGCTAGCTAGATTGGGAATTGTAACAGGGGCGTGGGCACTGCTCACCCAGCAACAAGGCCTTGGCATAGATGGGCGTTTCAAAGCTTGTCGCCGACGCACATAATGCACGCGGACAGAGCCAAAATAAACCGCCTCAACCGTTAGACACGGAAAAACGCATATCATAAGCAGACTGCGTGTGACTATTTACATTGGATTTTATGTATGAGCTCAGTAACGAGAGACCCTGGAAAACTATGCTGTGTGGCGTGACTGACCACTAGGCTGAGTGAAAGGACCCTGCGTGCTATTTAATCAATCAGCGAATGCGTGTGACATTACGTACGAATGCGGAATTACAGGGCACGTCGCACGCTACCCTTTATCAACCCAATCAAGACGTGCTAATCAGTGCGAGTAGTGGAAACGTCACAATACAATCAAACGAAACCGGCTCAACTCGAGAATCAATGCATTGCAGTGACATGCCGCTTGCACCGACGTTGGAACGCGTGTGCCCTGCCGCAGGCAAATGTAGTGCGTCAGGGAAAATAATTAGTAAAATTAAAATAATTAGGGGCAATATTATGGCATACCAATCCATATAGAATTAATTTTAAATGGTGAGAGAAATTGCCTAACCGCGAGAAGGCGCGTGTGCCGAAACATCTATGAAATAGTTATAACTATAACCTTAAATTAAATTAGTCAAACAATCAAAAAAGTTATGACACTCATCTCAGACATTTTTGCGATAAGTCGACACCACACACACAAACAGCTCTTAAGGAGGACACACTCGTCTCTACTGAGCTCGGGACACCGGGCGCCGCTCGCATCACTAGCCACACTGGACTATCACACATTGCTAGATAGCTCCGAAAAGCACCATTGGAGGAACTATGTTGCTATCGAGCGTGACCACGCACGACAGCGTGATGTTGAGCGCCTACCGGATGAGAATATCGTAATAATGTAAAGCCAACGTTTCCATTCTCTTAATATTTGGAATGAGAACCAGATTCATTGACATTTTATGGGAGCGAGTTGATAGTTATTGTATCCCGCCGTTGCACGCGGAGGATTATACAGTGTGTATTCCTGCTTCTAGGGGTATTTTCAGAATGTCTGAGCTTCTATCGTATGTTGTTAGTTGATGTGTAGGCTTACTGCCTGTTTTTCATGTCGGCTCATAAGAATTTCAATCAGTGAGACTAATTATCTAGTTGGCCACCCGTCATGTATACTTGTACCGTATTCACAATACTATCCATCATCTCTTAAATATTCGCTCTCACACTCTGCCCGGTTTCTGGTATAAGTGCCTGTCTTACCAAGCAGGGGAGCAGGTCTACTGCCCCTGCTGTATCCCGAAACGTGCCACTGCTGCAAAAAAATCTAACAGAAACACGCCAGGACTAAAGTGAAAGGCGACAAAAGAGCTATCGGCAGCGCACGGCGACACTAGAGCAACCACGTCGCACTAACGAGCGACCACACGACCACACACGACACACCAGTGACCCCGCCCCAATGTGCGCGCCACAGCGCCCGCAATAAAAAAGAAAACAAATAAAGAAACCAAACAAACACACAGCCGCCACGCCCCACACACAACAACACAAAACAGAGGAGATTTAGTTGTGCTGTCACGTTGTGGTTTGATTGTTATATGTTTATTTCGTTTGTTGGCGCCAGACAGGACTTGCATACGATAATTAACATCAACGATCTTTATTGTGGAGATACGGTAATTCCTTTTTATTCATTTCGTTTCTAAGCCCTTTATGAACTTGGAAACACATAGTAAGATCCGCTATAATAAATAAATATAATATAATGTGTGCGTGCCGTGTGTGTGTAGCGACTGTAGTCGCCCTGACTTGTGTGTGCACTGGCATCGGGCGAGTCCTTAGTGTGATTTTTTCGGTGTGTTTGGAAGTTGTGAGTGTGGAGGGAGAGAGGCAAAAAGCTTTAAGGAGGAAGAGAGAAGTAGATCGCCCATGCAAAGTGACGACGAGCAGAGGCACCGCACAGTCAGAGACGGAAGATGAATGACAGAGAGAGAGAGCAATGAAGCATGTATAAAGAGTAAGAGAAGACGAGTAGACAACACGAGCCTAGCAAGGTTCGTCGTGCTATGTGTGTGTTGTGTAGCTTGCGTATGAATTGTACGTGCATGTTGTTGATAGGATACAGTGTTAGGCTGAAGTGTTCAAGTTTGCTCTGTGACAGTGTGGTGTTGAGAGACAGAGAAGGAGGCCCGAACGAAGCACCGGTCCTACCTAAAAACCGTGCGATTGAGTGACCTGAAAAGTGAAAACGACACGAGAGCGAGAACGTAGGTGTACGGAAAGAAGATGTAAAAGACGCGAGAAATGTGAGCGCAGGAATGATGAGAGGACGAGAGCTTAGATGTGGTTGGGAGGTTAG